GCCCAGCTAGAGTCGTAAAGAACATGATTAACGATGATCATTAGTCCCAAGCAAGGGACGTAGAACTGCATGGTACAAAGAAACACCCCTTCTAGAGAATGTAGACAGTGGTAAAGATGACCACTGGTCTAGACATCATTAACCTACACTAAAAACTCGTAGCACTACTAAAAACCACGTGACACGGCCAGAATTGTATAAGTACCGCGGGTTTTGGATAGAAAGGGCAGAATAGTCCAGGGTACAGATCCGTGGGTATGTAGTATTAAAGCGCTTGGTCAGCGCTTTGACAGTTCTCGTATATGTGTTATAGTTTAGGTCTTACCGTATTCGTGTTACAGTATGCATCTTAAAACGTATGTCTTAAAACTCCTTTTAAGACTAGTAAATGTATTTGCGTGTGTAAACTCCTTTTAGAGATCTTGCATTAAATATGTAACTAATAACTTGTCTCTGTAAGTTTGTATAAGAATTAAATAGACATTTGTTTGTACGTTATACTTTCGTGTCTGTCTACTTTGTGATTACCTCAGGGTACCTCACAAGGGTGCTCGCGCCAAGCAGGACCTTTGGGTTAGTACATCGCATGGTATACATTATACGAACACGGGCCACACACTACACACACACACATACACACACACACTCGAGAGAACATATATAGGTACGAAGAATCACGATCATTACACTGGTGCCGTGACCAGGATAGGCATTCTATACGTCCCCCTATGGCAAACGTTCCTCCCCTCTACATTGTGCATGGACAAGTAAAGTAAAATACGAGTCACAGTTATGACGCAGCTTGCTAGATCATGCCCATACCCATGACAATGTATATGGGGCATATTTTATGGGGCGATGTATGTATGTATCTATGTATTATGATGTATGAATGTATGTATGTACCATGTTACACGGGCACTGATCGTTGATGCCGCTACCATATATAACAATATGATGCAGTGAGCGTTGTTGCAGGCCCTCTATCCACAAACGGCGTGGAGGCCATTGGCTTCTTTAATACGGCTGGCCTGGAGATGAAAGGCGTGCCACCAGATATGCTATTGCTCATGACAGGATCTGGAATTGGATCAGTGGATGAAAATTTTATATATAACCAGCTAGGATATGACAAAAAGGTTTGTCACGCACACACACACACACGCGCGCGCGCGCGCGCTCGCACATCCATTTATATACGAGCTGCCTTGGCGCTTCGCACCTTGGCATCCGGTGAGAAAATGCGCCGTGTGAGAGCCGAGACAGGGACACTTTGAAACCATGAAAACTGCATAAAATGTGCCAATTTGGCTGTATTTGTGTGCATATTTTGTGCATATCTGTCTTAATTACCTCTGTATGAATAGTAAGCAAATTAGAACCTATACATCTCTTTTAATTATTAGTATATCGCTCTGGTTTTTGTTTACGATTTACGATCAATCCTGGTGAAACGTTAGATCTCTATAGTCACAGTGATCAACGTTTGGACATTGGTAGGCATTTGTCTGCTTGTTCTATGTTGTACGTACGATGGTATAGCGCGCGCGAATCAGACGGGCGCAGCGCAGTGCGTAGGACTGGATCGATTTGTTTTTGTAAGCCATGTGTGTACGCAGGCGTATGGGGCGGGCGGGCGAGCAAGTGCATCGCAGTAGCAGGCAACAGCAGCAGCAGCAGTAGGACACACGGCAAATATATAAATATATATATATGTATATATCTATAATATTCTCTATTAGTGACATTCTTTTCACACGCTCGTACCTAGTTTGTCGTTGTGAACAAGGTTTACCTGGAATATACTGGAATTTATACAATCTCGTTTCTGTAAATTGATCTCATTTCATGCGACTGTCATCCTAGGATGCATGTACGATAATGTTTACAACTATTCAACGTTATATGTATAATTTTGTTTTTTCACTCCAGTTCATCAAGGACGCTAACTATGCCGCCCAAGAGGATCGCCATCTTTTCTCGTTGATACCAACTTTGTTGCAACCTAAAAGTGTCGGTGATATTCGCCTGAGAACCAGTGACCCGCTGGATTATCCACTCATAGATCCACGTTATTACGAGAACGAACAAGACGTTAAAACTATGGTGTCAGGTAATATTGGGACCGATTAATATGTATTAGAAATGAAATCACATGTGCGCGCACAGACACGCACACACCAGACACACACACACACACACACACACACACACACACACACACACACACACACACACACACAAACTAACAAACACACACAAATACACACAAATATACATGCACTTACACACACACAAATATACAATTACACGGCCAAACACACACACAGACACAGTCTCACACATGCTTGGCCTTCTCAATAATTAATATATTTTAACAGGAATCAGGTTGGCTATAAAGATATCAGAGACGAAAGCATTCAAGTCT